GTAGACATAAGATGAAAGGCAATTTTAGGGAAAGGGCAAGGAAGGGGAAAAAGAACAGAAATCTCAGTTTGTGGCTACAGGACAGTAACATATTCTAACCCAAATGATTAGAGGAAAGCATTTTGCCAGTGAAAGGAAGGGGATTTCACAACTGCTTACTCTTTGGGTGTAAGAGATTATTCTTTCACGTTATTGCCTCAAAGCTTGCTGATGCACAAGTCCAAGCCAGGGTTGAGAAATCCTTTGTCAACGAGAGAGAGAGAGAGAGAGAGAGAGAGAGAGAGAGAGAGAAGCTGCTGAGAAGCAGTCTTTTGTGTGGGCTTATCTCAAGGGAGATAGTCATCTCAGATGGTGCTGCACATAACTCTTATCCAAGCACCCAGGAATGCTATGTTGGCAGAAGGATAAAAAAGGGACAACCATGAGATGAGGTTTACTGACATGAGAAGCCTTACGACCTGCCTCTCTCCCTCCTGAACTTGCTCTGCATCCTACCTGCTTCCTGCCTGAGGCTGGCCATGCTGATGCTTCTCTCCCCCGAAAAGGTTTCTGACAACAGATTCCTCACAAAGAAGAAAGGTTTTCTGACAACAGATTCCTCACGAGGTAATGCCTACATGAAGAAGAACAAAGGTATCTGCCATCAGAAGCCTCACGAGCTGATGCCTGCATGCTGATGGACTCTCTCTTGGGCCTGCTACCAGACACCTGCTGCCTCCTCACGGATTTTCCCTGTGGCTTCTACCTACCCAGTAACTGCACCTTCTTGCTGCCCAAGGCTGGCCACACTGCTGCTGCTCTCCCCCTGCGCATTTGCCTCTGATCATCGAAATGGCGTGCAACAGGGCTGATGCTGGATTCTGGTGGTGACTATCCCTACTTCATGCAATTCTTGTTTCTTTCCTATCTTTTCTATCGCCTGCCTTCCCTTCTCCATCACCCTAATATGTAACAGTCTCTGTCCTCCCCTTTCCCATCTCCCTAATTAAGATCTGTAATAAATATTTGCAACAATTGAACCATTGTTTCTTAATCTCACGCCAGGTATAGATATATCAAAGGCCCTCGTCTCCCTCCTATAAATTGGAGTGAGACATCGGTAAATGATCCAAGGTATAAGATTAAAAGTATACAGTTTTAACAAATGCTGGTTTGTTAAGTCAAATTTTATAATATTTTGAAAATTACACAAGCAAATGAAGAAACCTCTACAGGAGAAGCAATTTGTTTTCATTACTGAATAGTAGGGCAAAATTCTTGGCTGGCTAGATGTTCAACTATGGAGAAAAAAACAATGATTTTGGCATGTCGTGCAAATCAGAATGAGACTTGGAATGTGCCTGTGAAAATTTTAACCTTAAAAGTATACTGAAAGCTCAAATTTAATTTTCATGTAAATTACAATTTAATAGTTGTCTTTTAAATAAATAATATTCTATTCTCAGAAGTAATTACTAGAGATAAATATTAATCAAAGAAATTGCCTTGCTGCTATGAAGGAATAGATACAGGAATATGGATTTTTTCTTCAAATTCTGGGTAACTACATGTAATAAAAATTATACAGCTTCCCAGGCTTCCAGTTCTTTCATATATGAAAAAATAAGGGTAAGTTCTAAAAGATGAAAAAAAAAAAGAAAGCTGTTTTATACTAATATAATTTGAATTTGCAATTTTTGACATGAAGAATCCTACTTTGCACTAACCATTAATGGCTGATGCTAGACCGTAACTAGCAAGGGAGAGGCTAAGGGAGAAGAACTGTGAACATTAAATTGTTTGCATAAATGCATTTTTTATGTTGAGAAGATTTTTCTTCACTCCTTTTTTGTGCTGGTGATTTCTCTGTGAAGAACTAACCAAACTTTGTTTTGTTTCTTTTAATGAGATCTGACAAGATCATGACCTGTTGCTTGCATGAAGCAGGCTAAGGATTTTTCTGTCATTGAAATCTGAGAGTGAGATGATAAATACAGGCTTGAAGTCAAGCCAGGTTTATCTCCTATCATGGACATGGATGAAGGCCACAAAGATGATCAGAAAAAAAAAAAAAAGGTTCTGGGGAGACCTCATTATGGCTTCATTGTAGGTGGAAAGGAAAAGTCTTTGAACTAAAAGACAGGAGATCTGGGTTAGCTGTTAAAGGGAAATTCTTTCCCCAGAAGGCGGTGAGGCGCTGGCACAGCTGCCCAGAGAAGCTGTGGTGCCCCATCCCTGGAGGTGCTCAAGGCCAGGCTGGATGGGGCCCTGGGCAGCCTGAGCTGGTGGGGGCAGCCCTGCCCATGGCAGGGGTTGGGGCTTGGTAAGCTTTAGGGTCCCTTCCAGCCCAAACCATTTTGTGATTCTATGCTCTGGCCTTGAGAAAAGGCTTGAAAAGCATTCAGAATATCAATGCCAGGTTAGAGATGAAGTTGTGTAATAAGTGTGCATGTATTTGTGTTTACAGTAGTGTTCCTTGTTTTGGGTTGTAAAAGTTATAAGTACATTACATTCTGAAGTGAGACATCTTATGTGAGGGAAAAGACATCATCTTGGAACATTTCTGAGTTAGAATAAAAATTTTCTGAACTAGACAGAAGAAGTGCCTATTTCTACTGCCTGTTTTTTAACATGAGGAAAACAAAAAACAAGAACAGATTTAATCTTGGTCTGTTATTCCTATTTGACAGTTCTGATGCTTATAAAAATGTTTAAAAGTTTATACATGAAAAAAGCCACAGTGTGAAAACAAAACAAAACCTCCAAATACACACAAAAACGACACTTATAGTCAACATGACATTCCAAAAGTAGAAGCTGGATAACTGTAGAATAGGGTTCTTTTTAAGAAATCTACATTTTACCATTCTACCTGCTATTATATCTAACGTATCCATTTATGCATCTCATTTTTAAAAGGGTAACATCAAGGTGTATGGGCAGAGCTGGCTAGGAACAGCTAATGAATGTCTACCATAATGCAACTAGATCACCTCATGGCAATAAATGTTGTCTTCCAAAATTTCAACATAAAATTCCAAACATATTTGACCTAATTTCATCTACCTCGAGGCTGGTACCAGACTAAGAAAAGAAAGAAAGAAAAAAAATAATAGCCCCAAAGCCCATAACCTTCTGGTATATACATTAGAAAGGACTTATAGAAGACTTATTTTCAGTCATGCAAGTTCTTTGAATTTGAACCAGAAACAACAGCCTACAACTTAGAGAACATTTAAGAGCGATTGTTGTGAGCATAACCCAAGGCTTTATTTTTTTGACAATGCAAGTAGGTGGTAAAAGCAACTATTCAGAAAGAAATACTCTTACTGAGTGAAAGTTGACATAACATCAGTTTACACAAATGTTGTGAGTAATGCTAAACAATACTTGTATGAATATGAGTTTAGTAAATAGTTCACATACAAAAATCCTCCTTACATAGAGAACCACCAGTTGTTTTTTTTTTCCCCAGATGTTATGAAAACTGTTTAAATGAAACATTTCATTTAGAGAAGTGTTTAAAAATCTGAACACTATTTTCAAATGCGCACAATGTATTCTCTCCCAAACACAGTAGCGATTTCACAGAAAGGTAATTCTTGGGCTGTGATGTGATGTGCATTTAATGTCTCTGGAAAAGAAAAAAACCCAAACAAACAACAAAAAAACCCACTTAATTTTCTGATTAGAATCTGATTAGAATCTGATTAGAATCGAAAGAGAAATGGATCTAAACATTCAAATAGATGAAAATTCAAATGCAAATAGATACTTTTGAGTTTCTTACAAAAAGAAAAAAGAATTATTAGTAGCTCAAAATACTTGAACTCAAAACTATAAAGAAAGCTACTAGACCTAAAAGCTATGCTTTTATTGTCAGAGTCAACCTGTGTGAACACAACTAATGAGTTTATATGTAAAAACATATAGTGTATATAATATATAAAGAAAAAAATCAAGTCGATTATAATGTCTACATTATGATAATTATGAAGTACAGAAAAATGATTTAGGAAAGTTAAGACTGCAAAGGAAAAGTCTTCTGTGGCTTTATAAATTATCTCAAGATTTCACAGAGGAATGTGGCAAAAATCCAGGTATGGAACAAAGGCTCAGAGCTTTCTTGTCTGAGCTTATAACCATTCAATGTTATAAGGTTTGGTGCATTTCAGCTTTTGTATATATTGTCAGAATTTCCCACTGCTCCTTTTTGGACTAGCTAATACAAAGTAATGAAGGGAATCAAATCCTCTGGTTTTCTGAACAGTTTGTCCTGTGACTAAATGTGTGATTATGGAGTTTATAGCATTGGTTTTTTGTTTTGTTTTGTTGTTGTTGTTGTCGTCATTGTTTTTTGACCACAGTCTTACAAGACATTGTGAAGAAAATTTAGAATAAGACATCTAATAATATATTATTGATGCTCTGTTGTTTTGATGCATGTATTCAGCATCTTTTTCCTTTCTCAGCCTCTTGAGTGCAATCTTGGTTATTATCAAAATATTTAGAGCTCAGGACAGACAGGCTGATAGGAAAATAAATTACAGTAGAAATCATGTGTGAACATGTTTGAACATGTATATGAGGATGGATTCCATGTAACTGAAAATTCTGATCTGTTTAACAAATAACAGATTTTGAATCTATTGTGAATTACCTTTTACTTAATTAAAACAATTAGATTAAAAAAAATTTTTTTTTGAAGGAGAACAGTTGTGAATCAATGATATTTAAAATTCTAAAACAATATAATAATCAAATAAACTCATTTGCCAAAGTGCTATTTCCTTTCAATTTGTATATATATTGATTTTGTTACTATTTTGAACCCAGATGAGAAAGGATTAGATAGGGCAGTTGACTGACAGCAATTAAATCAATCCATGATTTTCTTTGTCTCCAAATGAACAATGACTGGCAGTTCTGATAAAAGCCAAAATTTCTCATTGATTTGAATGCTGCTATAAGTGATCACCTCGTGAGATGATTTATGGAACCTTTTATTCTTTTGTACGTAGGAGGAAGTTCTTCAAATTGCAAAGTGTGGTTTTCCTTAAAGATTAACAGCATACCTGCAGCACCTGAAAGGAAGATAGATGTGAAATGCAGAGCTCTGGTAAGATTACTCTAAATGTTTAATTTTTTTCCTATTGCATTAGGAGAAAACATAATTTTACTATTGTTCTGGCTGCTATCATAGAAGATTTATTGGTTTTCTTAGGTGACCACCTGGTTTTTGCATAATAAAGCTCAGTATGTACTGTAAGACCTCACATAAGCTCAGTGATATGAACTCAAATGGATACTTGAAAAAAAGTGGTTACTTTACCCTATTTAAATAGTTATATTCTTCTGCTGTAATCTACATTTAGTTTTGGATATTAGATGAATTTGAAATCCATAAATATTTCAAGCAGTTTACATACTGACCAGAGTAGGGTAAGTCTCTTTTGGTACCTTCCTTCCTTACACATGCAAAATTGTTTTGTCATTTGGATTTCATTAATTGTTGGAATGTACTTAATCATATCTGTATTACTAGATAAACATACACCTTCATTCTCAATAAAGTAATTAAATTATGTTAGGAATTTTAGAAAAATGACTGCATAGTATTAACATAATATAAAATAAATCATATGTTTTAAAGCACTTAGGCGTATAAAGATAAAATCTCTCTTGATTTTCCGAGTTAGTATTTTAATTATATTCCTTAAATGGTTGTTTACTTTATTACCTAGTAGCCCTGCATTCTGCATGAATTGTAGACAGAGAAGAAAGAAGAAATACTCACTAGTAGTGATGCAAGTACTTAGGGGCTACCTCTTCCAGTGATAGATACTGGGGAGGGAAAAAAGTCTCTTCAATTGATTTTGTGTGACAGAGTCTGTTTATGTGGAGAAAAACACAAAAGAAAGTAAACACAAAAGCTAGAATGAAATAGTTTGCAATTTGAGACCTTGGGAAAAATAATGTAGATTTTTGTCCTGCAGCACTGTGTCTTATCTTGTATCATTTTCTGCTCTGCTCTGAAAGTACTGTAAGAAAACGGTAAGAGGAAAAGCTAGATTCAAATTATATAATTGATTATATTTTACAATATCTTGTCAAGGGGCATTTTAACTTTGCCTCATAATTTTGAATATAATTCAGTATGAAAACTTGCAAAAAGCACTGATAGTAAAATCCAACATATTTTTACAATGCATGGGGCAATTAAATTATTGACTTGAATGGGGAAAATTCCTTCCTAGTGAAAATGAAGACAAAAAAAGAAGTAGATATACCCCTTCTTAAAGAACTCTGTGGGAAATCTTGTGAAAAAAAACCCAAAAAACCAAAAAAACAAAACACACTGATGAAGATGGATAGAAGGATTTTTTTGAAGATGACAGAAAGATTCTTGAGTTACAGTATGCATAGTTACTGTTACAGAATGGTCTGAATTGACTGTTTGTATGCCAGGCAGTTTGTTTTGGAATGGGAGTGCTTTCTGTCTTTAAAGAGTCTGGGATTATTTTAGTTAATTAGTTTATGTAAAGAACTACTACAGTCTATGAGTACTAAAAACTGGTCAAATACAAGCAGATAGCAAATAAAGTTTGTGCTACTTTTATATTACTGAAATATTATTCGAAGGTCTGGTTTTCATGTGTTAAGAAAAGTACTGGAAGGAAATCAAAGGAAATACATTAGAAGCATGGAGAACTAGCTAGAGTATGCACATACAGTGTTGTAACTTTGTAGCTGTTAAGAGTTTTCTGTTCAGTCTTTCCATTGCATTAATAACGTCCTTTGCCTTGACTTTGAAGGGCTTACTGAGCATTGTGAATGAACCATCAATTTTATTTTTAGGTATGTCTTTTATTTTAATTTGATGCCCCCTGGTTATTGAAATACAGCAGCCAGAGAACAGTTAAACCCTATCCACTCTCTTCATGCTACTCTTCTGTAGACTTCTATAATACTCTTTCTTACTTACCTCTCTTCCAAGATGAAGAGTATGATAAGGTATTAATTTTTATTGATATTTTTCACTTGAAACTTCTGGTATTTCTCCAAAAGTGCTAAGAAAATTAAACAGATAAAATCAGTAGAGAAAGATAGAAAGCCATTTGGATTTTAGCAGTGCTTGTCCTCTATCTACATTAGTCAAAGTGAAGATAATTAAGTGGCATCTTAAGAAATGTAACTTCTTAAAAAATTCACATGCAACATAGAAAAAACCACAGAACTTTTCTGTGAATGAAATTCAAAATATCAGATGAAAAGTAATAAGATTGTTAAATCCCATTAATCTTTTAAAATGATTCATAGCACAGCACCCTCTTATATCAAAAGTTGATCTATGACAAACTTGCTTGATGGCTATGCCTGACCATACAAAACCACTGGCAAAACCACTGAAATGAAATGTTAGAAATGCTGTTAGACAGATCTCATTATTTGTTTCAGGAGTCCAGTGAGCTGCCTTACTCATAACCTGCAATTGCTATTGGGAATTGTAACAGTAAATATGGAATTGTGATACTCTGATTCTAAAGCACTTACATAAAAGAAGAGATTTTACTCTTCTTCTTTATCTATTAATAGAATAATATTTTGCCAAGTGAGAGAATAGCTTCTCCTCTGGAGAAAGCAGAATAACTCTGGGTCTTGGTTCCAGTTCTTCATCTTTTTCTGTTTAGTGTGTACATAGCAAACATCCCTTAAGTTGGAACTAGTGCTGATCTGTACCCCTGGAAATGTAAGAATTATAAATATTTTCCAGCATAAAAATGTGAATTCTAGTAGCCAAGACCTACATGTAGTCTCTAATGAAAGAATGGCACAGTGAAGTAATCCACTGTGTGAAGCCTTTAGTTTTCATAGTTACAGGCTGCTTCCATTCCTAACTTTATTACCACTGTTAAAGGTGTGCAATGAGACTGAGCAGTGAGTGGGATCCTGAATAATAATGTATTATAATAATATAATATAATAATAATAATAATAAATAGAAAGGTCTGGTTTAGCTAAATTTCATTTTGTGAAATAAAGATACTTTAATTTTCCTGCATGTAATCTTTGTCTGTTTTGTGTTCTAATGACTTTGGCTATGCCTTCTAAATAATTAGGAAGTCAGCTTGCATTTTCTTTGAGTTTGAGTTTGTTTGTTTGTTTTTAGTATGCTGTATACTTGTAAAAGTCCACAGAAAACCCCCAAATATGAGAAGTGATATCAGCTCTCTAATCAAGAATGTAACTATTTTGTTATGCTATGATTAAATAGATGGATTAATCAATATTCCTGACTTCAGCCTCATAGGCAGCTGAACACCACACAGTTGCTTGCTCGGTTCCTTGCTCTGGAAAGAGAGAAGCACAAAAGTCAGAAAACCAGGACATTTAAACTAGTCTTATTCTGGGACTGCTTTTCAAATTCTTCTCACCCAAGACTGCATTTGATTTTCCTTTTTAATGGATGTCTATTTAATACTTAGAGGTAGCAGCCATCTAGTCTGTTTTAATTACATAACTTTTTTACAGAATTGTCACCATAAGAGATTGTACACAAGATGTGTTCATTTTGTCAAGATAACACCTCTTTCCTAGCTCTTCTATTTCTCTCATTCATTTGCTTGAAGTGAACCTGCAAGAAAGGAGGCGTCTGTGTTAGCCTCTAAGTTCATAGCAATAGCATGCTATTTGAGTGTCTCCTGATTATTCCCATTTAGTTTCACTTACACTGCACAGCAGTGCATGCACTGAATCTCTTGGGTGAAATTTAACTGGGAGATGAACTTGTCTAATGTTCTCCAACCACTAGTGGGTGCTCTGTTCATTGGAGTGAAATAGGACTACTTGAAAGTATATATATAAAAAAAAAATAGCACAGCTTGTACTGGTCTACATGTCTACTCTTTTGTGCCTCACTGCATGCTAAGATAACTAAATTTTTGTACTCAGTCTTTTGTAAATTTTCCAGCCAAAAGAGATGCCATCATGTTTTCATGAGTTTAAATATCCTGGGAACTGTATTATGTCAGTGGATAAGTATAATGCGGAGAGCTTGTTAAAATCCAACCAGATATAAAGCAGATACAACTTAAAATTTAAATTATGCTTCATTTTCATTTATTATTTTTCCATTTATTATTTAAAGTAAAAAGCATGAATTAAGAATGCATTTTGTAATTTTGTAACTTCTGATACATATTTAATTGAAATTTTTCTTCAGACATTCACTTAAAGACCATAAATTTTAGATGATTTGACTTATTGAAAAAGAAAAAAAAAAGATATTCCCTATCATTTCTGAATCAGAGTAAGAAGTGACTGTATAACTGTGACAGGATGGACATATCTCTGGCATTTATGTAATCATCGTCCTTAGTAGAAAGGAGGGGGTCACTATCTGTTACTGACTGAAGGCTGTTCTTCAGCTTTTTTAAAATGGAAATGCCGTATGGTTTAAATTTCCACAAAGTTATACAAAAGTCATCGCAACCAAAATATTAAAAGAAGAGCTTGAGTCATTATGACCATTGAGACTGTTTTAGTTTAATCTCCAGAACTAGCTGCGTAAAAGTGACTTAAAGTCATACTTTTGGTACCCTGTGAAAGTTACTTTTCTTGAACAAATTCCAGCTAAAGTTGTTTATGAGAAAAGTGGAGTACACTTAGCACTGTGCATTTCATGGAAAGCAGTAGTCATTGTGTACGTAGTAATGGGGTAAACAGAGTACAGCAAGAAGCTTTCAAATGACGTATTACCATTTGTTCATTCATATTCTTTAGTCATAATTATTAATTAAAAACCACTGCAAGGTATTGTAAGTTGTTTGTATACTTGCAGTTTCTTTATTCCTACATGTGGAGAGAAGAATCAAGTTCTAAAAATTTTGCCAAATGGACATTAAGTATCTTTAGCTATTAGTAACATTGCAACAATTTTAAAAATCTTTTTTTGATTACTTAATTTTACATTAATGTTTACTATGGATTTCCTTATTGGCAATGGTAGTAAAGAGGTTGAATTTAGTCTGATAAATTCAGATTTCATGGTCTCTTTGAAAAATGGAGTGTAAACTGAATGGACCAGCATTAATAGATTGCCTTGCAAATGGCATCAAA